ATATCCGACCTCCGGATGATGCTGTGTTGGTTGAATTGTTTCCTGTTGTGCTGTACGAGGAGAAAGAGGTACGAGTTAAGGCCGATTTACACGACACAACGTTTGCCTAAAACTGTCGCATGCAACCTGCGCACAACTCGAGTTGTACTGTGTAAATGATGCACAACAACTCGCTTACGTTGTGTGCTTGATTTACACAGTACAACTCAAGTTATAACCAAGTTACATGAGACAGTTTTAAGCAAAAGTTATGTAGTGTACTTTGAAAACGGAATTCTGGCGTTTGAAAAGGGAGTATTGCATTTGGAAAGGGAGTTTTGGCATTTGAAAAGGGAGTTCTGGCATTTGAAAAGGGAGTTTTGGCATTTGAAAAGGGAGTGTTGGCATTTGAAAAGGGAATTCTGGCGTTTGAAAACCAAGTTCTGGCATTTTAAAAATGAGTTCTGGCGTTTGAAAAGGTACTTCTGGCGTTTGAAAAGGGAGTTCTGGCATTTAAAAATGGAGTTCTGGCATTTGAAAAGGGAGTTCTGGCATTTGAAAAGGGAGTTCTGGCATTTGAAAATGGAGTTCTGGCATTTGAAAATGGAGTTCTGGCATTTGAAAAGGGAGTTCTGGCATTTGAAAAGGGAGTTCTGGCATTTGAAAAGGGAGTTCTGGCATTTGAAAATGGAGTTCTGGCATTTGAAAAGGGAGTTCTGGCATTTGAAAAGGGAGTTTTGGCATTTGTAAAGGGTCGGAGTTCTGGCATTTGTAAAGGGAGTTCTGGCATTTGTAAAGTTCTGGCATTTGTTGCGTTTCTACTAAATCGGCGTTAACTTGTATGTGTGTGACTTAATCCAGATATTATGATATTTCATTTTTATACTTGACAATTTTCCTTAGGCCGCCATATCTGTGGCAAGTGTGAGTAATGAAGAAAAAGAAGAGCATAAGAAGGACTGCGAGAAACTTCAGGCAAAAATTAAGGGTACGCTCTTGTTTTTTGTGAAGAACAGCCACTCAATCCTTAAGAAATAAAATTGTTTCCTTTGTTTCTTAATGTGCAGTTTTAGAAACCATTCATGTTGAAATGTGTAAGGTTTTGTTGGAAGATGAACGTCACCAGGTAGGTGCATGGTTTTGTGATTATTTTTACACCTATTTATACAGTAGGTAACGGGGTGATTATCATGGCTGAAAAACAACCAAACAAGAAATAGTTCTTGGTAACATTACATTTTTTTTGAACAGGATTGTCCGTCTACTAGATCTGCATTCTTGGAAAAGTTTCGAAAATATTTACAGGAAAATATGTTTATTGTTCTGAGCGTAAGTATTGTCATTCACGTAATTTCGGGAGAACATCAGAACAATTTCAGGACAGACTGCCGATTCAAGAACATGTACAGTACATGTTGTTTAGGGCTGTTTAGGACATGTTATTTTGAGGTTGTTTTGGGGGTTGTGTTGGGGGTTCTTTTGGGGTTATTTGATCAAACTGATTATCAATTTCCCATTTGTAATACAAAATTACTGAAAATTGCAAACTTCGCAAGGCTACAGTATATTATCCGCATTTTACAACATTTCGCAACGAAATTTTGGAATATTACTAATTTTGTGATGCTCTTTCATGCTGTGATGAAATTTTTGTCCAGACTTGACTAGATCAAAATTTCACTCAAAAGGGGAAAGGTCTGTTGAACAATCGATCTTTCTTCTCTTTCTCTAGTCTCATCCACCCAGCTCGTGTTCTGGGCCAGTACTGACATGTTTCTTCCATCGTTACATGCAAGCGTTGAATTGGCATTGGGACAAATGGGCGGAGGAGAATGGATCTGAAATTACATCAAAGAGTATGTGTTGGAGCTATTCTGTTTGAGCTATATATTCTGCTTTTGCATTACAGGAGAATCAACGAGAATATAATACCGAGGTCCCTTCAATATGGGCGTGTAATCTACTTCAGATATGCTGGCAAACATTTTGAATTTGGTGATTTTATATTTTAGGTTTATTTGTTCCCGTGTCGGCTTTTGTGGATAAAAGCATTAATTACTTCGAATTGTCAAGGTAGACTTTGGATTTTATTCCCAACTCCTTTTATGATTTGTACCTTGTATATATGTCGGATCTCTGTTGCGGATTTCTATTAATTAAAGGCATATTGCCAAAAAATTCTTCTGCATCTTTGCTTCCATCTTCTAAGCTTTTGTAATCCCTTTAGAAAGTTGTCAGTACATTATCTTGTTGTCATTTAATATAGAATTGGCGGTATAACTTCGCATCTGAGAAAATCACATTCAGGTAATTTAGCAAGAAAAAAACCTGGTATTCGGGTTCTTTCCTTATGAGAAACTTCTCATTCGGATAGTATACCCTGGGGCACGTGTTTGTTTTTGTTATTATATTACCCTGATTTAAAATGAGAAATTTATGGTTTTACTCAATGGTAGAGAAACTTAAGAATTCATGTTCAACGGAGACAGATGGAGACACTGGTATGAAAGCAAGCGTTAGTACAAAAGAAGCCACTTCGTCAGAATCTTGTTCTGGGCTTAATATGTCATTGATTGAAGCTGTTGACACGTTGGTTATGCTGTATTTCTTTGGTGTTCATCGACAGTTTACCAAGGTAAAACTTGTGTTCGGGATTTTTATACTAGATAGAGGGAATGAGTTCTGAACTATTTTTTTCATGAGGAGCAAGGAAGGCATTCCATGCTGATCCAGTGTTACTATATAGGAGGGACCGGAACACTTTGATAATGGCCATAACTTATTGCTCCAGGTTTACTGCAGGTGGAAACCAACTATACTGGATAGCCTGATCAGTTCTAAGCTGTTCTTCCTACATGTCCATTAAGGATCATCTCTTATTGATCCAGTGTTACTACAGGAGGAAACCTAAACTAAACTAACTGTATTTATACTGGATAGCCTGATCAGTTCTAAACTGTTCTTCCTACATGTCCATTAAGGATCATCTCTTATTGATCCAGTGTTACTACAGGAGGAAACCTAAATTAAACTAATTTTATTTATACTGATAGCTCCATCAGTTCTAAACTATTCTTCCTAGAGGTCCAGTAAGGATCGTCTCTTATTGATCCAGTGTTACTACAGGAGGAAACCTAAACTAAACTAACTTTATTTATACTGGATAACTCTATCAGTTCTAAACTGTTCTTCCTAGAGGTCCAGTAAGGGTCATCTCTTATTGATCCAGTGTTACTACAGGAGGAAACCTAAACTAAACTAACTGTATTTATACTGGATAGCCTGATCAGTTCTAAACTATTCTTCCTAGAGGTCCAGTAAGGATCGTCTCTTATTGATCCAGTGTTACTACAGGAGGAAACCTAAACTAAACTAACTTTATTTATACTGGATAACTCTATCAGTTCTAAACTGTTCTTCCTAGAGGTCCAGTAAGGATCATCTCTTATTGATCCAGTGTTACTACAGCAGGAAACCTAAATTAAACTAATTTTATTTATACTGATAGCTCCATCAGTTCTAAACTATTCTTCTTAGAGGTCCAGTAGGGATCGTCTCTTATTGATCCAGTGTTAGTAGTGTTACTATAGAAGGAAACCTAAACTAAATTTACGTTTTATTTCGTATAGGTCCGCAGTGTTCGAGACAATCTGCATCAAAATATCAGAGCCCTTGACGAGACGGACAAAAAAATTAACAAGTGTCCGAAAGATGTGAGTATTTACAATTGAAGGGTTTTTGAGATGGAAATTTTAAGTGTAGATTTTAAAAGAGTACAAGTGCCTGGAGCCGTAACATTTGGTATTTTTATCACTTTTACTTTCTATTTTGGTTTCCAGAAATTGGATGTTCTCGCAGAACTTGAACGTTCTCGAAAAGTGTTTGCGAAGGAAACAACGAACTGCACTCGACAGATGGCGTGGGTTCGCTGTCTTATCTTCACCCCGGAGAAACAGGCTGATGTCTATTGGATGTTAAATACCGCTCTTCAGACTTTGCAGAATGCCAAGCTGGATAGCACGGTGTTTGATTTCGTCCCGGAGTTTTATATCGAAGCTATATGTAGTGGTTATTCCGCTTTAAGGAACTTATTTTCACCTACTGTATCCTTCAGTGACCTGTCAGGTATGGTTAGAAATTACTCACTTCTTTTACAGGGATGGGGCGTA